TATTCATATTAAATTCATAAATAATTAGAATAAATAAAAAATTAAATTAAATAAAAAAATTTAAGAAAATTATTAAAAATATTATCATTAAAGAAATGTCCATAAAAATCCTTTTATAAATATTTGTGTTTAATATATAAAAATTGATTAAATTTTTAATAAGTAGATATTATTTTAACATATAAATTATGTGTTTAGAATTGTGATGAATAATTTATATTAAGATATAAGGTAATTATTAATTGATAAAATTAATTTAAAAAAAGGATAAAATAAAAGATTAAAAGAGAAAAAAAAATACATGTGTTTTTGTTAAAAAGAATTTGTAAAATATTCTTAAGAATAATGTCAAAACATTTTTATTTAATATAAGTATTTTTAGAAATTTTTAAACAAATATGTCTAAAATATAATAATCAAGAGAAAAATGTAATCTATCATATATAATGTGTGTAATTTTTAGTTATCTATTCAAAAATGATTTTTTTATATCATAACTAATTTCATTAAGATCTTTTACGATATGTTTGACTTTAATTTTTATTTTTCAATAAAATCGACATATTCTTCCTCAAAAGTATTTTGATCAAATACTTTGTTTTAAAGAAACTTTATTTTGTCTTTGTTCTCCAATCTATAAATTTCATGGAGGGAAAATAATCTTATTATACTCATGTGTCCTAAAATATTAGATTTAAGAGTCTACATTTTAATATAAAAAAAGGATGTTAACTTTGTCTTATAGAAAATATTAATGAAACATATTGTTTAAAGTTATGTCTTAAAGTCATTCATGTTGTTAGGATTTTGAAATAAACACAGGCTTCTGAAATTATGGAAGACAATTATTGTTATATATTCTATTATCTTTCTTAAAGCTCAACATAAAAGAATGTTATTATATACACACAATTCTTGTAGCACGGGATGATCAACATTCAACTTGAATTACCTCGTTTATGTTCAACATATATACATTTTTGCATTTTAAGATGTATATATGACATGGTGGGGAGCATACTTGTTCCTACTTTTTTTTGTGAAAAAATATTTATGACCAAGTATATAATAATTTCTATATTCACAAAGAACATTGAAAGAAAAAAAAAAATATCTCTATAGAGTGTGAATTAATCGACAATCATGGTTCTTAAAAGTTATTATGTGATATAAATAATAGAAACATAACTATTATATTAAATAATTGAAAGAAAGACTAGATTTATTTGCACTAATATAACTATTATATTAAATAATTGAAAGAAAGACTAGATTTATTTGCACTAATATAAGGATATCCTTTATCAAATAAAAGATATATGAAGCGATGTTAACAATTTTCTATTTATCACATTTTTCAAGAGACAAATATTGATATTTTAGTTGAAATTCACTAGGGTGATAAGAGACTAATAAAATAAAAGCTCTATAATGTTCTTATGTTGTTAGGACATGACTTGGTCAATACATCCTAAATTCCTTTTATTTCCTTTTTAAGTTTTCATTTATATAAAAAAGAAACTTAAACTCTAATTCTCTCTATTAAAATAACACTTATTATGTATTTTATATAAATAAGCTATTTATTAATAAAAATATATATTTTTTAAGAATGTTAAGAAATATTAACCTCATCATTGTATTACTCAAATTATTATTTATTCCTAAAAAATTAAAAATATATATCTCAAAAGAAACCTTTCTAATTTAATTGCGAAATGAGAAAGATATTAAACTTTGCAAAATTTATTTTGTTCTATATTATATTTTATTTCTCTGAATATTGAATACTACCTTATTTATTATTATTATTATTATTATTATTATTTATTCTAATATAAAAAGAAAAGAACGAGAGAATACTAAATATTATCTAGTTCCAACAAATATGTATATATATATATA